AATCCACGACAGATATTTTTATTTAATAAATTGATTATCACAAGTGATAATAATTATCGAACAAACACTGCGAGAGAATATATATTATAAAATAATTTTACAAAATTTTTATTTTTATTTGCTTACGCGATCATATTCTGTTTTTTATATTAAATATATGATTAATAATTTTTACTGAAAAATATTTACTTTTAATGTTTATGTATATAAATTGTACGTCGTAGAATAGTCGTCGTTAATGTTTCTTTTTTTTTTGTTAATAAAAATTCTATTTTACGTTTAATTTTTGTTATATTAGAAACAAAGAAATTGGATATAAAAGGGTGGGTGACAGAGTGTTAGGTCTTCAAAATCAACAACTAAAAAAACCTATTGTTACATTCTTTATATGTCGTATCTACATACATGCCCGTATTTGTCGCATGTCCCGCAATCGAATGTGACGGTATATAAAAATAATTATTTTTACGTGTCCTGAAAACAATATCTTTAATTATGTACTCAACACCATCGTGGTATCAATTGACTATACAACAACGTACAACTAACAATTAATCATTATTTTGATCCATTAAGTGGGTAAGTTGAAAACAATTTTTTAAAAGCTTCAACATGAAATAGCTTTCTATTTTTTTTTATTTTTGTAAATAAAATTAATTGTTTCTAAGTTGGGTGCTAAAAACTTTTCGATCGACACTCATGTATTTGAGAAAAAAAATTCATTAACAATATATTTATTAAATTTTTCCGTCGAGAATAAACCTAAGTTGAAAAAAACAAAATTTAGCTGCAAATTTATATATATATGAGTTTATAAATCCATGCTTTATAACTTTCCCCAGATATATATTCATGCGATTATAGTGTTTGTAAAGTCGATTACTTTCGCTGAACGCATATACATGCACCTGCAATTATGATAATGGTGTAAGTTAACAAAAAAAAAATATTACAATTATTGATATTATAAACAACAATAAAAATGAATAAATTTGTCTGAAATCTTTCCATTTTCGTTAATCAATTGTCATAATTCTTGGAAACATGGGGCGTTTATAGTACTCGAAAATAGGATTAAATATCTCTCGATATAACGTCAAACCCAAAGAGAGTTATGACGTTAATAACACTAAATTATGTATAAAATTCTTATAATTAATATTTTTTCACTCTAAGATAACGTTTTTTGTTTTTTCTTTTTTTTTTTATTATTATTATTTCTTATCATATTCTCGACACAATATATTTTTCGTTTTCGTTCAACAACGTCTCGATAGGATTTCGATAGGAATTTTTGAAATTTCGAATATGAGAATTAAAATGAATCCGATTAAATCGTGCCTCGTTTGGTAAACACGAAAATGACATCATCTTATTCGCGTTTCATCGATTAAATTCCAGTTTTAATTTTTAATCAGAAATCTATTATTACACGAATCATTTGAAAAATGACTTACCATCGTGATTCGTCGTTAGAAATATTATTATTATTATTATTATTATTATTATTATTATTATTATTATCATTATCGTTAATGTTGATCGATCCTGGCATGCACGCAAAAGGGAAACATTCGATCCAACGTGCGTAACGATCGAACGTGATCTTTCAATAAGGAAATGTAAAACGCGTTTCGTGACGTGTCACAAACAACGGTGTTCGTACTAGTAATATTAAGAGGAAAGTTCCACGAAATAGTACTTCATTTCCTTTCCTTTTCCTTTTCCTTTTCTTTTTTTTTTTTTCCTTACACTTACACCTTGTTTTGTACGATTGATCGATTCCCAGAAAATGCCGTGCATAAATTGAAATCGTGCAATTCGAATTTGTTGAAAAAGAAAAAAAGATATGAAAACGAAAATGATAGGTGCGAGGTTTGAAAAGTTCCGAGCCAGTAACAAACAAATCAATACATTTTTGATTATTTAAAATAATACAATTTGTTTCTATGTTAGTAGGTGCAAAATAAAAAAAAAATACTTTTCACATACGCATTCTTCTGTTTGCTAGTATATGATAAATTTTGATTAAAACTATATAAAACGACGGTGTTAATTATTTTTTTTTTTTTGTAATAATATAAATTTTTATATTCGATTGAACAATTTTGATTCTAAATCGTATCGTATTTATTAATAATAACGTTTAATTTGCTCGTCTTGGTAAATTTGAAAATAAATAGGATACCACGTACGAGATCCTTTTCTCCAACTTTCTTCTCGACCGTATATAATAACGCACACGTTCATTAACAAGAAAAAAAAAAAAGTTAAAAGAAAAAGTGAAGGAGAAGGGGAGAAGAAGAAGGAAAGATAATCTCGAATATTACGTAAGATAATGTTCAACGGAATAATTCACGTGATTTAGGTATGTATGTACATAACTTCACTATTTCGTAATAGAGTTATCCACGACGATGACTATCAGAATGGTCGTTGTCTATTTATTAGCACAATTAAAATTTTTCACCTTTCAATTGTAATATATTTGGAAATCAATTATTTTTTTTCTCTCACTAAATGTGATATATTATATTAGATAATTTTTTCTTTAATTTTATTAACACTTAAAAAGAGCGATATCCTTTTCTTTTTTTCTTCATCTCGTATAATCCAAATTTATTTATTATATTTTATTATTTAATGGGGAAGAAGAAGAAGAAGAAGAAGAAAAAAGAAAAAAATGCTATCGATCGTGCGTTAAAATGGTCGTGTTCGTTGCTTGACACGAGATCGTTAACGTTCAACACACAACGCGAAAAATTTATCCTCGAGGAGAAAAATATTTCCTGCTTTTTGATCTTTAGACTTCGCCTACTTTTGACACGTGGAACCTGTCTTTTTAATCATCGTAAAATAGCATACAGTATATACATAAATCGTATAATCAAAACAATCCAATGATCTAATGAGTGACCTGGTTAAAATTATTCCTGGTTTTTTTCTTTTTTATTATAAATATATTCTTCCTGACATCATTTTTTTTTTTTTCTTTTTTTTTAATTCCTATTCCCATTGCATTTGATATATTCCTTTTAATTTAATTTATTTTAAATACGAATTGAAAGATCATTCTATATCGGTGGAAATTTGTTTTACGAATGATTGACGACCTGCTTAAAATTATTTCTCTTTCTTTTTTTTTTTCTTTTTATTATTATAAATATAATTTTTCTTATCAATAACAACTTCTTACTTTCTTTTTTTAAATTGCTATTCTCCTTGTATTTTTATTACTCTCTCTCTCTCTCTCTCTCTCTCCCTCTCTTGATTTTTCTCGTTTCTTTTTTATTACATTGATTTATTTTTAATTCAAATTGTGAGATCAATCTCTATAGGTGTACGTTCTTAATTAGATCGAACGAGATGTAATGGTTGGGATATTCGTTCGGGGAGAGAAGCCGCGAAACTCTCGACGGTCCACAAATTCAAGGATTCGTGCCAGGGTCTGCTCCGAGTAGTATAATATGATGGTTTAAAAGCACGCAAACGGCTTTATCGACGTGATTTATCGTTTCCATCACGGGAAGGTGTGGGGGGGGATGGAGGGGGGAACGATCGAAAATCTTCGTAACAAGATTTCGAGAGTGGATCGAATTCGATAAATTCCCCCCCCCCTCTCTCTCTCTCGTATAGCAATCATTTTCTTAATGTTTTATTAATTTCTTTTTATATTTAATAGCAAATATTTTAGAGATTTTTAAAAGATCGTTGTCGTAAAATAGTAAAGAGAATGAAATATGTTTTAATAGTTTGTATTTATATTCTTATAAACGATTTAATACATTTCTAATATATATATTTATATATATATATATAGGTGGTGATATATTTAATATCATATGCTATCATCGTAGATTATCGTTTAACGAAATCGAAAGATTATGTTAGTTGGATGATAAATCATTCATCGCGATAGATCGGAATCGATCTAGCGTAATTTTCAAAGTCATTTTTCAATTATTCGCGTGATCTCATCGTTTATTAATAAAATACCCTAATCGCAAAATGGTCTTTTAAAATTTTAAGGGGCGAACTAAAATAGTAATATCTTACGCAACGATAATATTATATTAACGTTATTGATGATTTTATAATTCGAATGCCGTTCATTTTGTTTTTTTTTTCTTCTTTTTAAACAGTATATAAATATAAGCATTCAATCATTGATCTCGAAAAATTGAACATTGTTTTTTTACTTTATATAATTTTATTTGATCTATGGTAGGAAAGGGGGAAGAGGGGATTTTCTTTCGAAATTTTAAGTAGAAAAATACTTTTTTTTTCGATAATTTCCCTTTCGAAGATATCGTTCGATATCTCGAAGGAATCTTCGAAAGTAAGATTGTATCTACTTGTAGAAACGTATTTTCGACATAATATTACAGGCATATCTACTTCGGTTCTTTTTTTTTTTTAAAGAGATCACACTTATCGTCCACTCGTACATTTTTTTCTTTTTTTTTTTTTCTATTGGAATTAGAAACAAACACTTAAGGAGATAATTGTGCACGATTGGAATTCTTTAAAAAGTAGCCCACGATAAATAACCGAGATGTATTTTGTACGTAACGATGTTTTTTTTTTTCTTTTTAATTCTTCTTTCTTCGTTACGTTTTAATCTAACTAAAACGATCACGTCGATGGAAGTATCTCTCTCGAGGTTAAAAAAATAAAAAAAGTGAATTTTCTTTCGTGATATCGTTTGACCAATGGACGCCATTTTGACGTACGTATATGAAATGGAGAAAATGGCGGACGCGAGTCGTTGTTTTTGTTGTTGTTGCTGTCGTCTTTATTTTCTCTGGTCATTTTATTAAAATTGCAAAATATTATATAAAATTTAAATAACAATATATAATAATAATATTTATTTTATAATAAAATATTATAAAATAAAATATATAAAAGTATAAAAATATATGTATATGTATATTCAAAATATAGTAGGGTTACGGTGTTTTAACATTTACCATATCTTTCTCGTTTTATTTCTCAAGGTCTTTCAAAGGCAGGAAGTGAAATCAACAGCCAACGAATTGACGACGACGACGACGACGACAACGACGACAACTTTGAAGTTACGAACGAGGAATCAACAGGAAGATGTCTCGTGTTCATCATTGTTTACTCTGGATCGTTAATGCTTATCATAAAGCCTAATTCTTTCGCACACACGGTGAGTAATGTAACAACGACAAATTCTTTTATCAATTTTATTTAATCCAACAAAGGTTTCTCTCGTATTCCAAACGAGCGTTGTATATAATAATCCAAAATCTTCGCGTTATTTCGATATAATAACTTTTTATCAAACATTTTTGTTTTTTTTTTCGTCTCTGTTCGACAAATGAATCATAATTTGAATTAAAACATCCACGAAAACGCGTTGTTCATCGATTTTTTATCGTAATAAAATATTTTATGGAAATAATAATTTTTTTCATTATTATTATTATTTTTTTTTCTTTTTTTAATCTTTTCTTGTGTTTCTGTAATTAATTTGGGGGGTAGAACGAACAATATGATTTTGTTTTTCTTCTGTAATAAAACATCGATCGTAATAATTGTCAGATTCATGTATTCTCCAAAAGATATCAACGCAATTCTTTAAATTAATATTAAAATTCAATAGATAGATAGATAGATAGATAGATAAATAGATAAATAGATAAATAAATAGATCGTCGTGTATACCGGAAGAGATAAAAGCAAAGCAATGTAAAGAAAAGAAAAAAGAAAAAAGGGTATTTGTAATTTCGTGTGCGCACGGAAGCCCGCATGAAAAGAAGCCGATACGAATTGAAAGTTTTCTGTTCACGTGTTGTTATACCTAGATAAAGAAACGAGGAAGGAAAGTAAAGTAAAATATTTATTGATTCTTCCTAGGTAAGAGGAAAGAAAAACAAAACAAAACAAAACAGAAAAGAAAAAATTAATACCAATAAAAATTCTTCCCAACGTTAAAACAAATCAATCTATCGATTGTCAATAATTATTATTATTATATCGAATGATTGAAAAAAAAGAAAGAAACCTCGTTGCTAATCATTGTCTCGCAAAATTAGAAAGGAAAAAAACAACGTTCGGTATTTATTACCATAGTTTATTTTAATTATTTTGCCGAAATATTTGGCGGAGGGGGTGGGGGAGGGGGGAGTGGTGTAGGAAGGAAGAAGAAAAAAAAACACTAAACCGTACGCATATTTATCCTTTATATATATTCCTTGACGAAATAATTTTGTTTACAAATATTTGAGATTCCTTTTTTCTTTTTTCCAAAAATTATTGAAATGCCATAAATGTTCGGTTCATCGACCATCCTCTTGGCAACCGGTTAATAAACTATATGCAAATTTTATTATCCTTTTTTCCGTTTACTAAAAATAACGATTCTAAGATTTAACCACTCAGTAGAATTATCATCATCCCCCTCCGATCATCAGTCTAAACAATTCGAATTAAATGAAATACTATTGGAAATGAATGTGGTGGGGGTGGGGGGGTGTAGGGAAATATATCTCTCGAAAACCAAAACCCTTGTCTCCGGTTATGTTAGTGCATTGGCCTTGACACGTGCGTCATCTTTTTTACAAAGAGACTTCGACGCCCAACATTTTCATACACATCTGCTTTAAATTTGTCCGTTTGACGTTATTCTTACGTCTTACTTATTATACACACACGCGTGTGTAGTTGTAAAAGAACAACAATATAGATACGTGTATGTGTATAAGTAAGTCGATTCGTAAAGGTAGAATATTCTTATAGATATATATATGTGTATATATATATATATATATATGTATGTATGTATGTATGTATTTACATTACGCATATACGTATGGTTTGCTTGAGCACACTTGATTAGCGAGCTTGGTTCGATATTTTTAGAATAGCCGTTTTGTTCGTAACGCTATGCGAATCGTGCCTAACTCTTTCGCTAACATTTATCGATATGCTCTTAATAGAAAATCGTTTATTACGTTTACTATTAATAATTATTGATATAACCATTTGTTAATGACCTACGGGTATATATATATATATATATGCGAGTCATTTGTGCTTCGTTGACTAATCAATTTATAATACCCCGATTTAATTGATTTATTTTACTATTAAATTATTGTTTTAGAATAAATAATAGTGGTGATAGTAGTAGTAGTAGTAGTAGTAGTAGTAGTGGTGGTGGTGGTTTTATTGTTGGACTTTTAAAATTCAATTGGAATCCATAATGAAATTACATATTTACTGGACAAATAAATGAAATATGTGTGTGAATGAAATTATATAATGAAAGTAATATAATATATTTTGTATGTTATTTAATTAATTTAAAATGATAATGTGAAATAGTCTTCTTAAAATATGCCGACAATTTGGTTCTTCTAATATTTTTTGAGACATGTTAAATAAAGTAAATTTATTTATAGATTAACACGCGTGTTAGAAATAAAAGGATGAATGAAAAAAAGCCGAAGACGTTGAGGTATTTACGGTACTACCATTTATGGTTTGACAAATCGCTTATAAAAAGGTACGTTTTATTCGTTAGTAGACATTGTGAAGAAAAAAAAGAAACATTTATTGTTAGAAACATACCACCAGATGTTTATGCGTTTGATTTTATATTTCACGCACCGATTTTTTTTTAACTTTGAGCAGCTTGACGCTCCTTATTTTCTTAATACTATTTGTTCTTGAAATAAGACGATTAGTTATGCTCGCCAAGGTGGAAACGGATTACGCGTTTACCATTAAAATTCAGATAAGACGAATAAAATTAATAATAAAATTCAATTATAACGGGGGACGAGATAAGGCGTGTACAAACAATGACGATAAAAATAATATTACACATTGTATCATAGTAATTGATCGTAATATGAAAATAAAATATTTGCTCGTTCTCTAAAAAGGTTCTTTTACCTTTTTTGTTTTTGTTTTTTTTATCAGTTTTACGTGCACGATATTATATTTTTTTTTATTTTATTTCATTTTTATTGTTATTTATACTGCTCAAGAGAGATCCTTTTGGGACGACTTGATGTAATGATATTTAAACAAAGAAGAAAAATAAAAAATAAAAAAATTAAGTTTACCAAGAGTATAATGTAAAGTTTCAAAAATAAGGAAAAAATGTAAATGAGTTCTTCTAAATGTCAATGTTGATAATAATTGATAACTATTATTTCTTTAGGTTTTTAAATGTGACTCAACAGGATGATAATTTTACGTATTTTTGTATATACTTTATTTTTTTCGGAAAATTGATAATTGACCATAATTATTTGTTATCTTTTTCTCGATGATTGGTTCTATTTCATTCTTTATGTACAGACCATGAACACGTTCTCGTGTCACTATTCTTTCAATTTGAATATTTGATGCGCTGCCAAATGGTGTTAAGCAACTATGGTGTGGGCAAGGGTGGGGGAGGGAAGGTCGACATTGTGCACGCGGCATAATAGAAGAACACATGATTATATTTAAAATAAAATAAAATTAAATTAAATTAAATTACAAAAAAAAAAAAAGAAAAAGAAATTAAAAGGATTTATCATTTTTTTTTAACAATACTAATTTTGTTCTTTACGATTCGAATTAATCGGTCATTTTTTACGTAAATTCTTTTTACGAAATTGAAATTAGATTTACTTTTACGCATACAATTTTTGTCAATAATTGTTATAATGGTTTAATATTAAAAAAAAAGGAAAAACATTATTTTTTTTTGTGTAAAAAATTCATTTTATCGTTTAATATTTAATACAAATAATTTTTAACTATCGAATAATGTCAATTGAATTGTTTCATTTACGTATTTGTATCGTTAACTTGATCTGATTGTCAGTCGTTGTAATTTAAACAGATAATTTTGTTTTTCTTTTTTAGATTATTTTTCATTTTTTGTTTTGACTTCGACAAATTTCTGTTTGATTTTTCATTCGTTTGTTGTTGTTTGTTTTTGGTCCTGATTTTAGTATCGTTTTTCCTCTTCTTTATTTTTATCCTTTTTGTTTGTTCAATTAAAGAGAATAAGAAGAAGAAGAAGAAGAGATGAAAAGATAGTTGACAGGTCGAAACGAACACGTTGTTCGTCTTCATAAAAACATATATTACATATACTTAAATATATATATATATTTATATTCAGGTCTCGGAATAAGTTAGTAATATTTTGGGAATGACTTTTTAGCATATCAAAACAATAATAAAAAGAAAAAATAAGAAATGTTGGTACGAACACGTGTCTCCTAGTTGACCTTTATTTTCGAAATTATTATAGTGAATTTTGTATTGCAATAATTTTGTTTTTTTTAGTTAAATTAATGAAACTCAATGAAACATTTGAATATGGAGAAAGGTGTACGAAATTCTGAAAATTATTTGTCATATTTTTTTATGTTTTTTTTTTTTTCATACAAATTCTGGTCAAATGAAATGCGTGTTAATATAATTTCTTTTTTTTTTGTTTTTCTGTTTCTTTCCTTATTGTTTCCACCTTGTGCCAAAGTTCCGTCAAAAAATACTTTCCGTTTATTTTGGGACACCCTGTACACGTTACATTACCCGCATCTTCGTTTTGTGAATTAAATCTTTCTCACGGAAAAGATCACACATAAACGCGGACGTAATTTGTACAACAGGGGTGACAAAAATTGGACGTAAGTGTAAAACTTTTCTCATGCAATTTCAAACACTTCGTTTATTATTTAATAAATTACAAACTTTTCATCACATATATATTTCATTTATTTTAATTATTTATATTGAATTAATTAATTAGTCACAAATTATGTTTTTATTAACTGTGTTCTTTTTCAACGCGAGTCTAGAAAACAAATAATTCATATTGGATATTATGAAAAATGTTTTTTTCTTTTTTACGAACAAATAAACAAAACACAACGTTTACAAAATTTTCCATCGTTAAATTAATAACGAAAGACGATCGTGTGTGTATCTGAGTTAACATATAGAGTTACAAAACAAATAAACATTAAAAGCTTTTATTTGACTTTATCAATTCGAAGCTACTTCGAAAAGAAAAAAGAAAGAAAGAAGAAAAAGAAAGAAAAAACTAAAGATAAATATTTTTACCCCAAGCGAGTCACGAGACTCGAGAAAAACATTTCAAATTATCTTAACACATATGTATATGTGTATGTCTTTCGATATTAATAATACATATTATTAATGCAATCAACGATTGGTCAATCCAGATAAGAATAAGAATAGGATCAATGCTAAAACTCTGACATATATTATTATAATTATTATTATTATTATTATTTATTCGTAACAGATAGAAAAAGTGATAAATAAAAAATATAAAAAGAGAGAGAAAGAGAGAAAAATTCGTTCGAATGAATGAACGAATAAATGAATGAATGAACGAGCGAACTAATGAATGAACGGTGGTTGCGCAACGAAAAAAAAGTTTTAGATTAGTTTTTTCGAATCGATTTAAAAAATAAAAAAAAAAAATAATTAACAAAATATGTGTTACACATATAAAGGTGTTAGAAATCATTGACGAATCATACTTAAGATAATAAAACTCATCTTCTTGTCCGACTTGTGTTTCTTGCATAGCAAGAGGTAGGTATTTTTATGATAGGTGCGCGTTCACGGGGGAAACCCGTTGGAAGCCTAAATATAAAGCCCGTCGAGGGATTTCAACTTTGGTGCCACGTTACGTATCGAGGTCGTGTCATTTTTTTTTTTCTTCTTCTTTTCTTTTATTTTCTTTTTGCTTTTTCTTTTTCATCTTTACTCTACCCTTCCCCCCCTCCACCACCTTCTTCTTCTCCCACTCCTTTTACTCTCTTCAGACATCTTGAAATTAACCTATTTTCCAAGCGTTATCGAAACTCTGCATGACGATATTTTTGCGAGATGATATTTCAAATACTTCAAACGTTAAAATGATAATGCGAATCCAATGGCAGTCCTTTGATACATCGAATCTTTGCGAAATATTCATATAAACAACAAAATAATAATAATAATAATAATTTTAATATACGAAGAAAATAATAATGAATTATGATTAATAAAAAAAAAAATTGCGATGTGATATTTTATTTGAGATTAAAAATATTATGGAGAGATTGAGAGTGAAAATAAATAAAAAATATTATATATATTTATATTTTAATAAATAATTTGAAATTATCTATCTAATATATATGGAATATTGTTATAATACATATACTAGAAAATGTGTTTAATCAACTTGATAATAATTTTCTTATTTAATTATTTTTTTCCGACAGAATCACGATTACAGTAAAAAAAAAAAAGAAAAATGTAGTTATCGTTTAAAAACGTAACCTTAAATTTATCATTTTATTATAGCTCTCGTCTCATAGATTGTTTAAATAATTAACTATACAATTTGTTTAAATTTATAGTCTTTTTTGTATGCATTGTTAAAAATATTTGACCCTCGATCGTTAAATACCAATAAAAAACAAAAAAAGAAATTGTTTATTCGATTTTAATCCTACAATGAGGGGAAGAGAAAAGAAAGGGAAAAAAGATTTACCATCACTGACCTAGAACGATGCAATAAATTTACTTTTTACGTTTTATTATACCTGACTCGCGATAAAAATTTCTCGAAGGTTGCTATCGACTTTGAAATGTCTTTGCGTAACAGTTGAAACTAATGCGAAGTTTGAACTTTAACCTGGAGAGTGAAAGCGTCAGCTAGAAAATATGCATGCTGAAACGTGACTTGGGATAAATGTGCTTTGTTGTAAATTGTGCACACTTAGAATGAAAGAGCAAATTTTCTTAATCGCTTTATTATTACATATGTCGAATATCAACGTTAATTATTTGTTTTAATTACTAATTAGTAATTTGTGAGCAAACATTTATTAAAACATTTTCTTCGAGTAAATTTTGAAAACAGATAGCCAGTCCCAACCTTCCCCCTACCCCCTGACTAAACAATTATTTCTACACGGGATTTATTTGAATAAATAAATAAAATTATTATAGTAATCTTCAAATGTGTTGGGGTTATAAATTAATTTTGAATAGTTATACAAATATTTACAAAAATGCAGATAATACGATTATGCAATTTTACGGCATATAATATAAAGAATTATAATGAAATATACGATTATGTTGTTTACTTTATAATTTTAATTTATTATGATACAAATAGAATTAATAATAAAAAAAATGATTGAAATTGTTACAGACAAACTCGGCGGCCATTGGCTACCATTTATGAATGGATCTTGGAGATTTAGAAAGATGGTGGCAGGATTCAGGAATCGCCATTTGGAGTTTTGTACTCTTTGGCTGTTTCCTTCTCAATGTGATCCTCTTCCTCGCCTTTCTTATACGACCCGGATTGAGAACGATTTCGAACAGGTTCGTGTTGTTGTCCTCTCACTGTATCTCAGTACCTTTTCCCTTTCAATATTTTCATTTTTTTTTCTTTTTCTTTTCGTATTACTTGTTATTTCGAAAACTCGTCGTCGTCGTCGTCATCGTCATTCTACTTTTTATTTTATTTTATTTTTTTTCTCAACGAAAGATAAACACGAGAAATAATTATTTGCCCGGTCGAATTAATTTGAAATTCATTTAAATTATTTACGTTTGTATCGTTCTTGTTTCTTTCTTCTTTTTTTTCATTTGCAAATTTTATATTAATTCGAAAAAAAGAACGACAAAATGAATGGAAAAATATTTCATTACTGATACAATTAAAATTGTTTCGATTAAATCGTTCGAATGAAAAGTTTACCCCTTTATCTGTTTAGTTTAAAAAAATAATTTAATAACTCGATGTAATATTTTGAACAACGTTATTGTTATACTAACATAAATAAATTTTAATTCGTTATGAATGTTCGTAAGAGAATGATTATAAATAAATTTGAATATAAAACGACCCTAAAAATAAATGTTCTAAGCGAAATAACGTTAGGTGTAGAGCCAACAAAGATGCAAAATGCAATGTCTTTTTGAACAACACTCTTACGAACTTTGCCAAAATGTTCTCTTACGACAACATCGGATTTCTTTTAATAAATATTTTCTTATTAAACAAATTGGTATACTTTTGCTGCGCAGTAGTAGCAACATGAGTTTCCGCATTGGAAAATTTCAATTTTCATGCTCGTGTTAACGAAAATCTTTCAAACAGGATTCGTTCGAACGTTTCGATTGATTTTTAAATACCCCCCCCCCCCCGCCCCCAAAGAAAAAGAAAACAAAAAATCTTCTAATTTTATCCCAGAATTAATCACAGTTTTTTCTTGATTATGATACATCTTGAATATATTTTAGCAAAAACAGAATACTCGTAAAGAAAAAATGATTATCTTAATGTCAGAGTTGTCTAAAAAATTTACGAGATAATAATTTCACAAGAATAGTTAGGAAATTTCTATTATAGTCACACTAGTGACTAACGTTATTATGCAAACAGGAAATAATACAAAACAAAATTGTATCTCAACGAATGTTAAAATGTATGCATTAATAATGTCACTTTTTTTTTCTTATTATCGATGATGATCGCTTGTAAAATTAGGCAAGCAGAAAACACTTGTACACTCTATCTGGTACACGTTCCTTATGTTTCTTTCGAGACTGTTATTTGTATTGAATAAAATCAATTGATTTAGTATTTTGAGAGATAAAACGTTAATTTTCATGACTCAATCAAATCATCGTCGTAATATTATTTCCCTATTACGTTGAATAATAAGTTGATTAATAAATTAATCTAATTTTTACCAATATTTCTCTTTTTTCAGATTCGTGATGAATTTGACTGTCTCGAACCTGTTAATTTGCGGGCTGTTGAATCTACTTTTGATAATGGATGCATCGCCAACATCGGAACCGGACTCGTCAGTGTTCTCAGCGGAAAAAATATGCGCGATGTCGGAAGGTGCAACAGCATTAATGACAACGTCATCGGTGTTATCGGTTTTCCTGATAGCAATAGACCAATATTTCGCGGTTGTGGATCCTTTGAGGTATCGGGCAAAAGTCGACAAAGTGAAATCCGAAATATTGATATGTTCAGTTTGGTTAATCTCATCGATGTTTGCAATTATGGCGTTCCTAAATCCAAATCCCCGTAGCCTTTGGTTGTCTTGCAATTTGCGATCTGTGCCAGCTACTACCGATTTTACGTTTAACAATTCGTCCACGGATGTGCAAAGCAATTTAAGCGTTGCCATGATCGAAAACAATACCATTACCACCGCCATTACCGATATCGAAACGGAATGGATCGAATACGGCGACGATAATATTTCAAACGAAATGCCAATGACTTATGGTATGATTTATGCAATTCTGCACAGTTTAACCGCATACCTATTACCGTTTGCGTGTGTCTGTTGGATATATGTGAAAATTTATTCGGCCGCGCATAGGAATTCGGAAAGAACGAGAAGGACTGGTTCTAGACCTATATTATCATCGGCTAGTTTTTGCGAAGATTCCAAATCCCAACAGCAGTTACAACAACAACAACAACAGCAGCAGCATCATCATCATCTACAACAACAACAGCATCAGCAAATGGATAATTTGTTGGATGATTACAGAAGGATACCAAAAATTTCGAGTCTCTCGTCGATCGACGAAACCAGCGAGACGACCCAACCAGCGGCAGGAAGTCAAATACCTCGTGGACGTTCTTTTTCATCGGTTTCAGAAATTCATTCATTAAATGTTTCTCCATCATCACCAACCAACAACGAGGATTCCTCGTCTGGCGGTGGTGGTGGTGGTGGTGTTGTCTTTACCGTGGGTGGTATGGATGCTGATGAATGTTCGCATATTGAAGAAAACGAGACAAATAAATCCAACGGACATATCAATTCTATTCTTCCTGCTATATCGATAGAAAAAATTGATCTTACGGATAATGAAGAACCAAGACTGTATTCCGATCATACCAAGTATGATCATCTCGTTAAGAATCATTATTTGGATCGACCAGAAGATATGAGACAAAAATCTCCGCATAATCTCATGTACGATCAAATGTTAATTCGCGAAAGTAAAAGAGGTTCTTGGTTGAACAACGACAATGTAATAACCGATTCGAGAAATTCCGATACCGAAGAGGACGTAACTTCGGAATGTTTTCGTTCGACTAACGTCGAAGACGATTCGGTTTTTAACGAACAAAAATCTACGTATCTTTCACCGTATTCCGCCTACGAGAAGACTATTGTTAATCGTAACGAACAAAATGACGACGCAGAAATAAATGGTATTTATGTTGCACCAAGTTCGAGAATAAACGATAGATTAATTCGTACCAAAGAACGTAGAAATGTCGTTAGGGAGTCTGAGGTAAATGAATTCGAACGGTTGAAAAATGAAAAACATTACAATGAAGGAGGAGGAGGAGGAAGAGTAATATCGGATTGTGATTTAACCGAGGTGATAGTAGATGGTAGCTGTGAAGTATACGATGTAGAGAATACTACTGGAAGGTCTAGAGAAATAGTAGTTAACGGTAGCAACAATAATGAAACGTCGGCTTGTCTTTTGACACCTATCGTCACGATTACTCCAGCACCTAACAAGAACACTTTGCATCGTGTTTCCAGTGTTAGAAGTACTTCCAGTTATATAAATTCACTCAAATACAGGATAAGTAATGGTTCGTTGTTCAGGTATAGAGAAGAGACCAGAGCTGCTAGGATAAGCGCATTAGTTATAGTCATGGGTTTGATTTGTTGGTCTCCGTATGAGATATTATTACTTTTGAAAAATCTTCCACCTTACAATAATTATAAAATCGCTCACGAGTACGACGTTACCGTATTGTGTTTTCTTGTATTGGCCGCTTACGTCAGCCCATTGCTGTTTGGTTATCGTTCTAAACGTGTCAAAAGAGAATTGAGAAAATTTTTCTGTTTCAAGAAAGAACTTTCTTATAAAAATAATAGAAGCCTAATGGCTAAAAAGGTTCTCAAGAGACGTCACAGTAACACTTTTAGTCATCTTGAATTGGACAATCGTTACAACATATTCAATTGCGTTTACGGTAGGAATCGTTGGCCTAAAGAAAAGGTCCAATTCGTTCAGGTGCCGGATACCGCATTAGCGGTGGAAACCTGTAGAAGTAGTTTTTCTAGTGGCGCGAGTACGCAAATTTCTACCACATCCACCGACGATTGTTGATAAGAAAATACATATGTATCGTTCAAATTGTCTCGATCGTGTTCGATTGATTCATTGTGTTCCTTGGGAAAACTCGTTTTAATTGATCAATCTTCCTCAGATCAATTCGAGTTTCAATTTCCTTTTTCGAATACGATCGACTATTATAGATTGTACGTATGTGTGTGTGTGTGTGTGTGCGCGTGGTATATCGAGTAAACTAAATGTATGAATTACGGAATATAGCGGAAATATACGAATTGTCGTCATAATCCATAGGAGGTAATCTTTGTTTACCAATGTTTAGATAAGTTGAGTCATTTTAATGGAAATTTTACATATATTTCTTCTTCTTCTTCTTCGCGGGAGAGAAATAATGTGAAGGAAAAAAAAAATAATATTAGAATTATCACTTCTTATCGTCACATTTTTTACTTAATAAACGATTAAAATATCCTAAAGTATTCCATTTAAAATGACTTATCTTATATACGTATATACACATGCACACACATATATATATATATATACTTACTCGTTCTGGTCAAAATGTATTTATTATTCATTTTTCTTCATCTTCTTCCATAGAACCTCAACTTAAAACTTAAGTCCAAAATGAATGATCGTGTGTCCTATGGTATATTTATATGTATGCAGTCTGTCTGTCTGTCTGTCTGTCTATAATATGTCTCTTTATAAGTCTTATTACAAGTACAACAAATAAAAGTCTCGTTGCGTATTATTGACCAATGGTCAGTAATCATAAAAATATGGACGACTTAGAAGAAAAAAAAAATAATATAATACATTTAATCGAATACATGCGTATTGATTGTTCACATTGTGAAGCAAGCTTTGTATAAACATTATTTATATAAACTGGTATTTTAAAAACCAGAGATAGGTGGATGCAAACTTCGAAGGGATCCGAGACCAAATTTAATTTCTTATTATTTTTAAACCTGACTGCTTATAAAGATGATGGAATTTTTATCATTATCTTTATAGCATTCATTTTGTTTGATGGCGTCTAAAAATATTGACAAATTTATTCTCGCCGAGTTTGTTCGTCTGATTTTCGTTCGACAATGCGCACTTGACTAATAATCTTACGTATAATCTTCTATTTTTTTTTCTTTTTTTTCTTAAGAGGTTAAGAGAAGACGAGACGAAACAAAACTTTATCATAAAAGTATTCTGCGTAAAGACGATAGAGAGAGTCGTACCGCTAGTATTACAATTTCTTTCTCGTGTTGCACAGCTGCTATAAAACAATCGTAATTGTAATTGCAACTCGAGAAACTAACACGTGGCTTATATTTTTTTCTTTATTATCTTACGCTTATTCACGAAAATGTTTATATGAAACGTTTATGCGGATTAACTAATCTGTTACTATTATTTTATTATAATTATTTAATAATATAGATAAGCATTTTTTCTATACGTGCATGATGCGTTGTGTAATATTAAAATTGCAAATATTTGTTGGTTATGCGCGTGCGCGACAATTTGATTTTTTTTTTTTCGAATAATAAAAAATGGCGACGTTGATTGCGCCATATTGAAATCAAAATATTTGAGAAACTTTATAATTCGATATATAACGTTGATAATATTGAAAACAATTCATTTTATTTGATTTTTACATAAAATAACTTTATTTTTTTTTTTATTTTTTTTTTTATATTTTAATTCATATCTTGTTTCATTAATATTAATTTAATTGTATAATTTAATTGAACGTTTAATCGTACGCGGCTCAACAAAATATTTTCCATACGACGAACAGAATTTTTCTACAATTTTACTTGTCGGGGAAATAAAATTTACAATAAAATGCAACCACCTATATATATATTTATATGGATGTTCATCTTTTTCGGTGTACCTCTTTCAATTAAACTATGTTATAATATTACTATATATATATATATGTCCGTAAGTTAGTGTATGTTCATGTAGAAGAAAAATATTTGCGAAAGGATATTTTTTACAAAAACGTACGCGCGCTGACCACTACTTTTATTATGTAAATATGTATGTACGTATACACAACCAGCATTTCATGACAAATCACGATAATTTAATTCCTTGGTTCAATGCGTCGAGGATTTTGAAACTTCTACGAATGTGTTATATTTTATTTTGTACATTACAAATATATATATATATATATATATATACCTCTTTTATTTATATTAAATAATCGCTGTAAATAATATTATTACGATCGAATACAACACGCAGCTATTTACTTTTCTTCGTTCCGATCCTAAACGTTTTTTGATTCGTTAGATCGATCTTTAACGTCGATTATATATGGTAGCTTTTTTTTTTTTATTTTTTTTATTTTTTCTTCTATAATCGTCGAGATCATAATAATCTCTTCAATTTCCTATAACGATTAATTCCATTTAATCGCGTTAATTTTTTTTAAACATGTTTGCTTCGTGTTACTTTCTTTCTTTTTATGTCTTCCTTCATTTTTATGTACCCCGAAATTCAATTTTCGGACGTTGTTATCATCGTCTTAACAATGTGATAATAAAATAAGAACAATAATAATAATTAATAATAATAATATATAATAATAATGATAATATATATAGAAAATTTATCGACGCTCGATGTGAAACTAATTTATGTGACTTTGTCAATAAAAAAAAAATAATAAAAAAAAGAAAGAAGAGTAAAAAGAGAGCCTACATCGTTCAAAGTGAGATCCGTTTGTTCCTCAACGACAACAAAAAGCAACAATCTTCCTTTATTTTTTGTCATTAGATACATCACGATTCCGATTATTCTCCAAAACATACATTTTTCCTCAATCCACGTTGTCGAGTTGATATTAGTTTTAATATTTGACATTTAAAAAAATACGTTCTTAAAATATTAAGTTTACTTTTTTCGATATTTTACACAATTAAGTACAATGCGTTTCGTAGAATTCGAATTTTAAGTAAACAAATGCAAAATTAATCGCCAATTACTTATACTTTCGTTTTTCTTACGAACGAAGTGTTTCTTCACAAACCTCTTGGAGACGCCATTTTTTCGCGTTGTAGTAAATTTGCAACGAAAAAAGAAAATTAGAATCCAAATAAATAATACGCGCATTGTGATCATAATTTGTATAATTTTACAGATTGAGGTGAGCAATAATGATGGCGGATTGTCTAAAAAAAATATTTGCGAAAGCCATTACTATAATGGCGTGTATCGTTTAACAAAATGACAACCATGAAATTCAGTATAATGGCGTAGAAAAGGTACGTAAGAGGTTAGTATTTTGTTTGACTATGATCACAAATGTGAATTTTCGTAAAATGGCGGTCGAACGGATGCCAATCTCGGAAGTTCCATCGTCGTATTAACGCGTTGATCTTCGTCATTGGTGAACGTACGATTATCGTAGCCATTTTGGTCCTCGACGTTCTTCACTTGTTTTACCGGTCCGTCCATCATAAATGTCGTTAGAAGAAACATGATGGAACCTTAAAAAAAATATTCACTTTAAAGATAAGCGCCAATAATGATGTCTCTTTTTTTCCTTTTTATTTTCTTTCTATCGAAATTATCGAAATTATCGAAATAAAAATCAGATCGATCACGTAAATACATACTTATACCGTAAAAACCAGCGTAGAAAATGTAAAGAGCTTCCCGGTAACCGATAGCCATTCTGGTTGGTTCAACGAGTATCGGTAAATTACCACCGATATTGTTCATTACGAAAAGAAATACTCCTATCGTTGTAGATCTCAAATTCAACGGAACAATTTCCACGACTATTGCGAAAACAATACCGAACCACATCTCAGCTGAAAGAAATAAAAATTAATGTTAACGTTTAAACGCGTATTATTTATAATTGATTATTACTCAAAGTAATACGTTAATTGCAACGCCATATTTGTTTGATAGTCTCAACAAGAGAACAATAGAAAAATTTTCTAATAAGATATATAAAATATTGTAATTAACATTTATAATTTATATACAATGCATTATTTAATTCACAGTATGCTGTAATTAGTTTTTATGTTGAATATGTTTTCAATTATCGGTATTCATTATATTTGAGTAATTCCGGTTAACTGTTGACCAATATGGTGGAGAACGTGTTAAGATTGCTGAACAATAAGGGTGAATGATTATAAGTAAACGATTTTACCGAAGAAATAAGAAATCCCGAGGGACAGCATAGCATAACGTGGTTCAAAGTAAACCGATCCAAATGCTGGCGGGGTTGCTATTAATTGGCTTATTGCCAAAACCGCAACACGCGATCTGATTCCCATTTTTGCGACGAATTTATCACTGACCACACCACCAACTACGACCCCGATGCTGCCAATTACAATTGTCACTGCAAAGAGCCACCAACCAAGATCGTGATCCGGGAAATAGTCACGATAATAAAGATCACAATTGTAAGCAAAACACATGCCACCTAAAACAAAATCGTATTCACTCTTTTTTTTTATTATCATTTCTTCTTTAGAATATATTCATAGAAAAAAATAAGCAAACAAAACTTATAATGTTTATATTGTTTGTTTTACCGCAATGTCTGATGCTAGCTGCAAGACATAAAAGTATAATTCGTGGTTGGGAAATAACTTTCCAAACAGAAATTTGTTTATCTTTGGTTTTATCGCTTTCTTCGCCAATAGTTTTTCTTTCTGGTTCAGTTAATGTCAAACCGGTAAGAATTGCTATAATTATACCGACAATTCCAGCACCGTAATAACATACTCTCCATCCCTGATTAAATATGTGTGATCGATTATTAAATGTTAATATTTAATGATTTATTTTTCATTTAAACACTTACCAGATTCCATGCATTTAAAGATGGAACGTATCGACCAACCGGAAAGGCAATACCATAACCACCGTAAATACCCCAATTAAAAATGGACATGACCAGACCACGTTGTTTTTCAGGAAACCAATCGGAAATGAGACCGGTTGATAATGGATTGCATCCTGCTTCCCTGTTTGTTCATTTAAATATTTGTTTATTAATATATTTCATTTCTATATGGGACGTTCAATTAACGCGAATTCTAAATAGTATTATTAATTAATAAAGCACGTTTTAATTACAAATACTATATGTTATGAATACGTGGTGCAACGTTAAAAAGTAAGATTATCTCGTATGATAAAACAGATCTCATGATTGAACAACTTGGGTAATTCGCTTACGAATTTCAATGTGCAATATCGTGGGGACGAGATTAAACGAATTTGTAATTAAAAATATGTAAGAGATAGATCAATGATTTAAAAATAATATTTAGAAAATAAATCGATTCAACTTACCCAGCAGCAAGGACCATTCGAAGGACAACTAGATGCCAATATTCTTTTACAGCTCCCATCAAAACGATCGCCAAACTAAATACTAAAGTGCAAATTGCTAACAATCTGACTCTGCCACACAATAAATAATATTATTTTGATTATTTATTTATATAAACACGCACAAATATATTGTTTTGTAATCTTACGATAAAAAATAATGTAATTACCTATTGAATCGATCAGCAGCTATGCCCAAAAGGACTCCTACCACTGTATAAACGGCAATGAAACTTGGTCCTGCCAAGATTTGATAATCCAAACCGAGGCCATTGTAATTCCATTCGCAATACGAGGAACCGTTCAATTCTAAGGATTGGCAACTGCAAAACATTTATTGAAATATAATATTTTGGATTTTTTGTTCAAAATTCCGCGTCGCGTATTTCAAATTGATGCATCCTAAATTATTCTTATCGCAAACACTATGATCAAAAATTGCTTACTTATTGAATCTTTGATTTACATTAATAACAATAATGCAATATAATATTGAATATATCGTCGTAAAAATTTGTATCGAAAAATTGTTTAATTCTTTGTTAATTGCGTAAAAATGTATAGCCCTATTTTATCTCAAGCGCTACGAATTAAATTCAATAATCATGAAATTAGTTCTTTCGTATTAAAAATAAACGTTTACGTTTCCAGTTTAAAGTGACTCACTTGGTGGCGTAATTTACTATTCTATAAACGTATGTTTAATCATGTGTGACTATAAAGTTCAATGTAAGTAATATTGCAGATTAAATAGTATATTACACGGAACACCTAATTACAAAAGCATTGTTAAACGTAAACGTAAAAGAAAATAATTTATTGTATTTCAAATATATCTTTTTTGTCAATCGACCCAACTTACTAGGTTTCATTATGTGCCTTTTCGCATCTAACCGGAAGTTCTATGAGCGAGAGAGTTGTGGAATTCAATTGACAGGAAATATCGCCATAATGCAAATCTTCAGCTGTTGCCTTGCTCGTAACCCCTTTTTAAAGGAATAACAAAAGTAATCATAAAAAAAAATTTAAAGAGAGAAAAATCTATTCAATATTTTATTATTGGATTGATCTCGAACGTAATTTATTTTGTTGTTTGTTTTGTTTAAAAAAAGAAATAGATACAAAATAGAAAAAATATTTACCGATCACATAATGTCCTAATTCACCGAGAACGTATCCAACCGAGACTACGGCCAAGGCGTAAGGTTTATATAAAAATTTCAACTTTTGTAATGCCGTGCTGAACATTCTTACCCTAAAAAATAACACATCTTAAGGATAATAAATTTATCAATTATGTATGATTTTATATAGATATTCTAATAACTTAACGATTATCTATTATATAAATTATCTTAACCATTGAAATTTGTGTCTCGTGTGATTTCAGATAATCTAAATAATACGAATATATAAATCGGTAAATCAGTCTTTTCAAATTGTAAAATAAACAAATATACATATACAGTCCTCCTAATTTAAATTCCAACAAGTTAGGCTCAAAACTTTTCAACCCACCTATGATTTAATTTTTTTATAATTACTTTTTTTGTACGAAAAAGTTAACTGTAAAATAATAATTTATTTTTCCATAAAAAAAAAAAACATGAAACGATTTGATATACGAAGTCTTTTGTGACTCATTGTACATTAAAAAAAAAAAAAAGGATACATAGTACGATACGATAATTTGACGATATTATATTACTTGTTTACGAAGTTGTAATAAGCGGCTTGTAAGGGTTTTTTCTTATTGAGTACCCATATAAAGATAAATTATTACTATTATTATTATTATTATTATCATTATTATTATTATTATTATTATTATTACAAGTTGTTTTTTTATATTTCGTAATTGTTTTGGTATAATGGAAAATCTCGTACGCGAGATGGAAAGGTTGTAGCGAGGATACGATGATAAAAAAAAAAAAATTTGACGATATTATATTTGTTAACGAACTAGTAATGATCAGGTTTGTAAAATGGACGTAATAGTAGGGGTCGTTTTCTGAAACGACACGTGGAACCTTCGTTAGGTCGATTGTTATATATTATTAGTTTAACCGATATTTTTCTAAGATACTTGTTTCAATTCTTAATAGAAACGAAAATATGTAACGTAACACCGATGATATTGTTTGCTAATATAAGATTTTATCAAATGTCATTGATAATCGATTCTTTGACGATTGAGTTGTTTAAAAAACATGTTATGGTTAAATAAATTGAATGAAAGAATTAACCAAATAGGAACGTTAAGATGTTTGCGTTAAAAAAAACATTTACAATTAGATCTAAATCAAACTTTTCCAAATTATTACAAAAGATTTTGCTTATTGTTATTTTCATTATTTTTTTTTTTTTCTTGTAACATTTATAAGATAATAAAAGACACGTGTTGTAATGAATCGTCTAATATTCAGAGAGATGATCGAAACGGATAAAAAAAATATAAGTGGATAAAAGAATATCACATATAATAAATGCAAATAACAATAGAGTGATTTATCTTATCAAGTAATTTGATAAATATTGCTGTTGCGTTATTACGAAGAACAATATTTCAAATTATTTCATATTTTAATATCTATATCGTATATATTTTCCTGCGTAATTCGTATATCGTGAATGAGTCGAAAAGTTTTCGGTCAAATTGTATTTAGAAACCATTTTTTTCTTCCCACTTTTGGACGTAACCTCAAAAATTTGGAAAATAATGGACTAAACATCCTCGCAATTTTGTGACTTTCATTTTTCAATTATTAATTATCAAAACATCTTGTAATAATAATAATAATTTAATTATCAATATTCTTGTCCAAACAATATATTAATATATAAGTTTCAAAGGGAGTAAAAGACAGTTAATAAATTTGATGAACAATTTTAAATAATAATAATAAATTAATAATAATAATCTATTTATGGTACTCAATGGGAACCACGAAATTCACGGTATAATGAACATTCCTAATGATAAAGTAATTATCAGCCCCATTCGGGAAAATAATTAAATTCTTTTCAAACATGGACACAAGAAAGAGAAAATCAAATTTATTATCAAACGATTCATTAACGTGGAATAAAAAGAAAGACAATGATAGATAGAATTATCATTATGTTCTCAACAATAAAGATTGTTGGGAATCACCGTTTACGGTCTTTTTCTTTTTTTTTTTTTTTGAACAAAGATGGACGTTCATCGTTATAAGATTTGTTTCTTTATGGTTTTTAATTTACGATGATTCCTTTTTTAAATTTAACGATCATTTTCTTCTCTTCTTCTTCTTCAGTTTCCTATTAAGACTTATGTTAATGATTTAAAAATTTTCTGAGAAAATGATAAACATATTTTTCTTAGATGGAAAATCGAAATGACCTCCGTAATGTATGTAGGTTAATGCGGTAACATCAGAAATATCCAATATTACAAGTAGGAGGACACGCTCGTGTAATTATCTTTACTAACATTGTCTCGAATAAAAATTTTCGTTTCGCAAATTAATTGACTAATGTTCCCATTATTATTATTATTATTATTATTAATATTCTCGAGTATTAAATAAAAGGAAAGAGAAAAAAAATGGAACCCTAAATAATCGGTGCAGGATATTCGTAACCTAAAGAAGTATCCGAGTGCAATCAGTTTGAAGATGTCCGGACACTCGGAGACACGTTTATGCTGACCTTGAACCAAAATCGGTGAAACGGAACGGAAGTGATAGTCTTTTTTTTTCTCTTTCTTTTTTTTCTAAGTCAGCTTGATTTTAATATTTTCTTTAGTATGTTGTATAATATGTTTGTTTGTTTTTTACATGGACATAAATTTTCTTACGGATTTTTAACGGAGGAAAAAATGTGTGTGTTGAGAAAATGAATTACATTATAATCAACTATTGTCGGGACTTTAGTTATTCGAAATAAATTACACAGAGACACCTGAATGAAATTTAAAATGTAAATCAATTGGTCAGAGTCTTACGTAGTAATTATATGACAATGCCAATTTGTGTATTATCTTTGATCAATCGAAAAAGGAGATACCTCTCCTCTTGTAAAGATGCCTAACTACGAAAATCTTCGAATAAAAGATTTTTATCGAAGGATTTATGTAAATTGTGTGTGAATAATGAAACATGTTCTATACGGTCGGTGGAACATGCGTTGTTTGTTAGTCGTTATAACGTTATTAAAGTATCAATACTAACCGTTAATAATACTCACTAACTTGCTTTTTTTTTCTTATTTATTTATTTGCATTTTTAGTATTCAACGAACGGTACGAAATATATTGCAACTTCATTTAAATGCATATTTTAAATAATTCCGTAATCATTTAACCGGTTATTTCTCTCCGTTCTTTTTATAATAGTCGTCAAGTGATCAATAAGAAAATAGAATTATAAACAAATTAAATATGCACAGTCGAAAAATATAATCAAACTTTGAGCAAAGTATCACGTACTTGTTTATGTTTTAGCTTTTATTCATTCGCACGTGTTTAATTAAACACCTAATTTAACATTTGCAATCGAAAACATTATGCGCCAGGCAAATTTAACAAAATATTTCGATATTTTTTCAACCGAAAACATTAATTCGAGTTATCGTAAAATTAACGAAAATAAAAGAGTATCATAATTAAATAAAATATACATGGTGAAAAAATAATCATTAGGCCGAGTAACACGCGTTTATGGTATCTACCTTTTACGTGTTCGCACGTGCTCGATTAAACGAATCATTTTTCTTTTTTTTTTATTATTTTGTCTTCTTCTTTTTCTTCTCTTTCCTTTTTTTTTTTTCTCATCGTTTGCAACTATTAAGAAACGTTATGCACCTTATTAATCTTCATTGTGCAAACTAACCAAGCATTCGCGTGCTCGTCACGTGACGTCGATTATTCGAGCACGCTTCTTTTTCTTCTTCTTTTTTTAATTTCTAACTCTTTCTAGGAAAAAACTTTAAAGTGACTCGGATCGTTAAATAAAGTGGGCGACTCGTAAGAAATTATTATGACGCTTATAGAGACGTAACGGATAATAAAACATTGTCTTTTCTTTTTTTTTTATTTTTTTTTTTTTTTTGCTTTGTCTAATTATACGATCATTTAACGAATAAAAACACCGAATTTAATTGTTTTTACAATAGAAATAATATTATTTCAAACGCGATGCGCGACATTGGTATTGGAATTTCTTCGAATATCATTCAATAAAAAAAATCTCAATGACAATTTAAAAAACTATAAATAAATATCTCCGAGTAAAAAAAGAAAAAGAAAAGAATAACAGCTATTTCACAATGTAAAAAACTGTGTTGAAATGATCGAATAGTTTTTCATTCAGATTTTATAATATCAACTTGTCAATTAAAATGGCACAAACGCATTGATACGTTTTGAATGAAAATTAAGAATAAATATTTTTATATAACGTCACACTCTATATATACATATATAGTATATCGTGCATTTATAATTAATTCTATGCAATCGATTGAATAAAATGCTAATAAATTATTTATTCGCTCTTTTATAAACATTTGATAAATAAATTTATTGTATAATAAAAAGAAAAAAAAACGCCCGTCTTATATTTTATTATTTAAATTTCTAACGACGACGACGAGATTTATCAATGCGTTTTCCGATTCTCTCGTACACGTTTGAAATATTTTTATTGAACGGGAATGGGGTAGGGAAACGGGGGGAATAAAATGTTCAAAGGTAATAAAAATAGAAAGAAAAAAAAGGGAAGTAATATAAATTCGTATTTACTATCGCGCAACGTTACTTTTTTTTTTATATGACAATTTATTATCATCATTATTATTATTATTATTTTTATCATAGTTCATGACCGATTTTTTCGTTATACGTTAACGTAAAAAGTCAAGGCAAGTTGGAGAACGTATCCTGCATGAACGATCGTGCATAGACATAGAGGTGGTAGAAAGAGAGAAAAAAAAAAGAAAAGAAAAAACAGTTGCTTAGAGTACGTAGGAGTACACACGATGCACGTCGAAGGAATCTCGTTCGAATAAATAATAATTTATCTGTTCATTGAGACACAAATAATACGTACGATGTGAACAAAAATCTTTGAATTAAAAATTTGGGAAAACAAAAGAGTTTGCGATAAAATTTCTTTTTTTTTCTTTTTGAGGGGGGAGGGAGTTTCTTCTTCGGACAAACTCAATGCAATTTTCGCATTGTGAGTATTGAAACGGATATGTAAAAAAAACGATTTCGATTAAAAATATATATAAAAATAAACGCGATTTTGAAATGAGATAAACAAAATACGTCATTATTTTTCAGATTTTATATTTCTTCGATATCGAAATAACGTTGTGTTTCTATATTGATCCTCAAAACTTTTCAACTTTATCAAAATTACTTTTATCGTATCGTTTCGTAGAAAAATTTTTCGTTTCTCTAGAAAAAAAAAAAGAAAAAATATTGTACAAATCTTACAGAATATTATCCTTCTTTATTTTGTATCATAATTTTTAGCGAGCAATGAGTAATGAGTTTTTGATCCCAAAAAAATTCATCATTATTAATTTTAAACGTTACAAAACGTTGAAACGAAAAGAAAAGTAACAAATATTTTCAACTTCAATCCAAATATTTTCTTAACCATAATAGATAAACGGGCGATTGTCAATATATAAAATATATAGTCATATATATATATATATATATATATATAAGTTTGT